ACACCACCACTGACTGGGTGATTTCAACAACTGAAATGAATTTTCTCACAATTCTGGGGTCTGGAAGTGCAAAGTCAAGGTGTTGGCAGGTGTTTGTTGAGGCTGGTCTGACTTCTCTCTGTGTCTCCGTATGGTCTTTCCTTGGTGCCTGCTTGTGTCCAAATCTCATCTTCTCTTGTTGACATCAGTCATATTGGACTAGGGGCCATTCTAATGACTTCATTTTAACTTAATTGTCCCTTTAAAGATCCTGCTCTAACTATAGTCACATTCAGAGATACTGGGGTTTAGGACTTTAACAAGTTCATTTTTTTTTTGTGGAGGGAGGGACCACAGATCAACTCATAATAGGGACCTAGGATAAAGTCACAAAGAGTTAGGGGGCAGGGAGATTTTGGCATCATTTCAAAGATGTCTCATTGGCACTTACATGTGGCTAATTCTCTCATAACAAAGTGGTTTTTAAAGAATGTGGCCACAAGTTAGGTGTCAGAAGTTATAGAATAAAATGGGAAGTTTAGCCGGATGCTTATTTAAATAAGAGGACATTAGAGTATTGGAAGTGACATTAGAGGATTTAAGGTGGAGCCAAAATGGAGAGAGATAGGAGAAGTGCCACTGGTTAAACATGTCCAAATAGAAAACTGGGTCATCTCGTTGGCTGATTTTCCCCCAGTTTGGTTATTATTCATTTAAAATCATATCTACAGTCTTTTTGCAGGGTGTACATACTACATATCAAATGGATCCAAAGTTCCAACTTCTATGACTTTATCTCACAAAACGATTGAGCAAGTGACAAAGGTGTATGTGGGTTGTTATTAATTAGTGTGACTGATGCTATAAAGCAAGTGGAAACAAGCCATGTCCAGCCACTGGGGTCTGGTTGGCCTGTCCAGGCCGTTGGGTCCCAGAGTGCATGTGCTGGACGAGCCATCTGGAATTAGGGCAGGATGCTGATGGGTAGGAAGGAGAGAGGGTAACTGGGAGACCTAACCAAGGACAGAAGAAGGGCTGGAGGAGGCTTGGAGGGTTTTAGTAGGGTTCAGGTAGAGAAGAGAAAAGAGGGAAGAGGAGATATTCCAGAAGCTTTCCCGGTTCTCCAGAACCATCATTTACAAAATGACGTTGGAATGTCACTGCAAATCATTTCTGTGGTCATCCTACTTGAGTCCTTTTGCTGAGAAGAGCTAACATCTAAGTTTTGAGAAGTAGTTTTTCCCCTGAAAAGCAGACCTCAAACAGAGTCCAAAGAAGAAGTGTGGGAGCTTCAGTTCCTCAATCTGGTTGCTTCTGTTAACATGACAAAAACAGAACAAAAACAGGAATAGGACTTTCATCACTATCTTACTTTTCCAAGAGAATAGCCTCTTTTCAGGTAAAGAAGGAGGGAGGGAGGAAATACATGAGCTTGAGGAGGACTTCCCACTGTTTAGATAGTAGGTGAGGTGGGAGAGGCAAGGGCTAGAAATCATCAAGGTGTCTCAAAAAATTATCTGGGTGAATGGTCTGAGGACAAGAGAGACTGTCCTCTACTGCTCCCCAGCTACACTTTAAGGAACTGAAAGGCTCTCAAAAGTGAACTAAGAAAAAAGAAGACGCAACAGCCCAATGCTCCAGAAGGTGAGGGCTGCGCCTTAACAGATGCGAGGCCCTTTGTTCCGGGAGCTGGGAGGCTGGTGGGGTGGTGCGGGGCTAATGTGAGCCGAATAATGGGCGGAGCCTTTCATATGCAGAGCAGCCCTTTGATCTGAGGGGGATGAAAGTGCTGGAAAGTGGAGAGGCTCGATGGGGGGCCTTTGTCTTTGACAAAAAAGGCATCTGCTGGACTCGAACCCTGTCGCCTGCCCCTTCAGCCCATGGGCTCCCGCGACAATGCCCCCACAGGGACCTGGGTCTCCCCGCAGCTGAAGAAGTCCCAGGAAAGAGAAAGAGGCCTGCTGCAAATGCTGGACAGGGAGCTTAATCGATTCTTTCCACAGCCCAGAAAGAAAGGGAGAGAGAAGAGGGGTTGTGGGGAGACAAGAAGAGAGGGGAACAGGAGACATGGGGAGGAGCCTGGAGTAGGGGTGCAGGAAGGGTGAAATTTGAACACTGAAGTAAACTTTTTGGTAATAAGCTTGTCACTTTTCCCAGTGAACACCACTTTTCAGAAGACAGTGCAGATGGGGTGAGTATGTGTCATTGGGAGGACAGAGTGTCCCTATTTAGCTAACAAGACATGGCTTTGGGTGGACTGATAATTACATTAATACTTTAAAAAAATACAATAAATAATACCTAAGGCGAGTGCTAATGTGAAGCAGAAATCTGCCTCTCCTACTGTTTTCGATTGGGATAAGGAGTCCCTGTAAGTTATCACACTGCCAGAAACTCCATGCTATTTGGAATTTCATCACAATTGTAATAATTTCTAGTGCTTCTTCCTTCCTTGCTGTCTCTTATCCCTCTTGAAATCTCAACCAATGCAAATTTAAGAGGCTTGAAACAATGCAATTTGTTTTGGTTGAGAGATGAGTATTTTCTGCTTGTGGATGATTTGGGGTTTATTCTGTGGGGTCGATAAAGTCTTTTTTTTTTTTTTTTTAAGATTTGTTTATTTATACAAGAACTGGGATTAGTCAGAGGCGCGGGAGGGTGAGAGGATTCACCAGAGCCAGAGCAGGGAGCAGAACAGTCAGACAGACCGAAGACACTGCTGAGGGGAGCAGCGAGCGAGGCAGGAGAGGTCTGCCACGCCATGTGGGAATCCTCCTGGCTGGCCAGGAATCGAACCCGTGCTACAGAGGCTGTGGACAGCTTCATTGTGCGGCACTCAACCTGCTGCACCACCGGGGAGGCCCTCGATAAAGTCTTTTAATGGAACCCTGATGGTTCAGTCAGTCAACACTGGACTGAATCATCGAATCCAGTGTTTTCTCAGATGTAGTTGGCCTGGCTGAGGGAAGGAGAGGCAGGCAGGATCTTATCCTGTGTCCCCTCAAGGACTGTGGTTTGGATAGGGGATTGAGAGAGGGAAACACAATGATTTGGCGCCTCTGGTACACCTAGCAGGAGCAAAAGGTCTGAAATAAGATGATGGTTTTGTGGATTCCTGTCCCCCAGACCCCCATCCTCAACCAGGTGAAGTTGACCCAATGCAGTGATCTCTGGCTTAGGGTTAGGGGAATTTGTTAACAGACATGGAGGGTGAATTTGAAACTGTCTTTGAATTTCCTACCTGAGTGGCACGTTATAACCCACCGAGAACATTCAGGAGAAGTAGGTGTACTCCTCTCGTCTGAAAAGTGCACAGGCTCTGAGCAGTCAGGCCTCGCCTTATGAGGAAGACATTACACACCTTGGGGAGGTTAAGGCCAGCCTTGTGCCTAGTCCACTGTTGTATTCATCCTCCCAGTGGAAAGAGCATTAACTTGGAGACTTGGGATCTGGGTTTGAATCCTGGGGTTCCCCTATTTCCTAGCACTGTGACCTTGGGGAAGGGATTGAACCTTTCTGAGTCTGTTTTCTTATCTGTAAAATGGGTCTGATGAAACAAACATGGGATTACAGTGAGAAATGAATAACAGAACCTTTGTAAAATGGCCAGCACATAGTACATATTTGCCAAACTTAGGCAGCTCTTTGCTCCTGCCGCCTGGAGGGCTGGGCTAACTTGTACCTGGCCAGCAGTGTCCTGTGTGCTGATTATGGGGACTCTGTGGAAGGGCAGCTGCAAGGTGCTATATCCACCTCCATACCCAGGCCAGATGAGTGAAAGAAAATGGCTCAGGAGTCCAAGCGCTGTGAGGTTAGCTGGGTGTGGCTACCAGAACCTTTCCCTCCCCCAGCTGTCCAGTGCCAGAGGGTTTTTATAAAATTCCTTGAGTCTGGATTTTTCCAAAAGATGGTCCAGTGAACCCTTCCTTGTGTTCTTACAGGGCAACCCCGATATAAAACGGGTTGCCTGGCTGTGGGTCCTCACCCGCGTGCTTTAAAGGGACTTATTAATACTCCACTGCAGGCACACACAAAAGGTTAATAAGAGGTTTATTTACAAGGAAAGGGGAATGTGGAAATGTACAACTCAGGGAGAAAAGAGGGAGATAAAGTCTTAAACGCGTCCTACACGTTCCGCTGACCTGGAATCCCAATGCCACGCTGAGAGCCAGGGAACAGCCAAGAGCTGTGAGGACAAGAGAGAGACCCAAGGCCCGCATATCTGGTTTTACACCAAACCTGGCTGCTTAACTCCACCCCCAGGTCCCAGCAACCCTCCCTTTGGTGATGATGGGATTTGTCATTTCCAGTGTCCTGATGGCTTTGGTCTGGAGTCGGGGTGGAGTCCACAGCACCTGTATGGAACTAGCTCAGGACATCCTTTCCCCCTAGCAATGTGTGCACCTTAAACCAGTTTGGGAAACTTGGTAACCCTCTTCCCAGTTGGGGAGAACCACAGCACACATCAGTGTATCAATACCCTGGGATTTCCGTCATGATAAGAGCTGTTTGATTTTGTTCAGCTCTCTTGTCCCCCCACTTTCCACAGTCACCTCCAGTAACATCCCGTGGACCCCATGAGTCCATGCCATGGATGGTTAGAGAAGACTCGTGCCTGTGGAGGCTCCTGTCCAGCCCCTCAGGGAACTGGAGCCTGTGGTGTGCGTCTGTGCCCTCCTGACCTCCCCACCCTTCCTCACAGCTTCCGCTGATCCTCGCAAGCCAGGGCTTTTGGTCTCCTCACCCCTTGGTCTTCTGGTGGAAGACTTCCAGGTTGTTGGTTTCCCCCTTAAGACTTTCCCCCTGGTGTGATCCATTGGGGCCTGATTTGGGCACTACTGTCCCCCATTTCTTTGGGCACTGTCTAGAAATTTGTGTCCCTGTGCTAGCAGCAGTGTCCGTGTCCTTCCATAAAGGTCACAGAGATGAAGCTATCACCGAACAGGGACAATAGAAAGCAGCTGATGACAGCTGTGGCAGTGAACTTGAAAGGGACCAATGTTTTCTTCCCTCTCTTTCAGGTTATCTTTGCTTTGAATCAGACCCTCCTGCAGCAGGAGAGCCTGCGAGCAGGCAGTCTTCAGATCCCCTACACGACAGAGGATCTCATCAAGCACTACAACTGTGGGGACCTCAGCTCCGTCATCTTCAGCCATGACAGCTCCCAGGTAAGCGCCCTTGTCCTCTGCCTGGCACACCCTGCATTTAAATACGAGAATAAAGACATTACCTGCTGACACCTGGACCTCCTGTGTACCAAAGAACAAAGTCAGGAAGCCTCTAAAAATAAAATCGGACAGATTTAGATGTTGAGTGAGATGTTACAGCTAACAAAGTCTTTATGAAATTTAAGAGCGGAGCAGGGCATTGATAAGAGTTAATTCCAAGATGGCAAAAAGGTGAAGCTTCAAGGGGCTCAGCAGATCCTCCCCATCTAGGCAGCACGAGTCTGCCTTCAGGGGGACAAGGAATCCAAGTCTGCAAGTGTCCCGGCTGACTTAGGTAACACTTTTGAGAAGTGATGGAGCAAAACTTTGACTGCAGCTTTCAGTGGCTTCTAGGAACGTGTGAGCCTGGTGCAACTGGAAGTGCTCGTGGTGCTTCTGCTGGGGTGGTGCACAGGGAACTGGGAAGGCTGCCAGCACTTGTAGACATGGGTTCCATCCTGAGCATTGCAGGTGTGGCCTCACTGGTGGGGTGAGTGTACACATGGGACAGGTGTGACCTGTGGGCCATCATGGGGAAGGTGTGGCTGGTCTGGGGTCAGAGACCCAGGAGGCTGCCTACAGGAGGGCAGTGGGAGGGATAATTGTTATGCTTTTATCGATAAGCTTCCCATGGGGCATCCAACTTCCTTCCCTTACCCACTGAGATCACATGGAAGTGGCAAGTGGCAGCTCAGCTTTTGAGTGAGGGAGTGTGTTGTCTGCACCCACCAGAACCAGGGCCCTCATGCAGGAAGGCCCTGGGGAGAATGTAGCTGGGAGGTGTGAGTGATGCCATCCAGGTATGTTATACCCTGGGATCATTGCCAAAAGAAAATGTGAGTGAATGGAAGAGGTGAAAAAGGAGGGGCCGCAATGGGGAGAGAAATTGAGCATTGCCCCACCAGTGTGCAAAGAGAGAATGAGTTGTAGAGAGTCTAGAATGGGAGGAAGCAAAGCCAAGGGAAAGCAAGCAGGAGGAAAGGGAAAGCAAGAAATACATTGAAGAAGAACAGTAGAGCTGGTGGCGCTGACGTTTCTATGTGTGCTCTGGATGGGAGAGGGCAAAGTGGGGAGAAAGATCAAGATTGATTGGGAAATTAACTTTTGAAGCAGTGGGTGGAGGACTTGAGGTGATATTTGTAAGTGGAAAGGCTGATGGAGAAGTTCAGGGGCAGGTATTTGGTGCATTTCTTTCCTGTGACTCCTCCAGGCCTCTTGCTCACAGCGCCCCTGTAGGTGAAGTGGGGCATCAGAGAATGTGCCCGCCATTGTGGGTTGGGCTAGGCTGGCCAGGACCCATGGTGCAGGTCTAGGTCATGTTTGGTGTTAGAAGGTGGAGCAGGCAGCAGTGGGAGGCTGCCCACGTGGAGGGCAGGCTCGAAGGGAGTGCTCTGCTAGAGAAGAGATTTCAGTAATGAACAGGAGGAGCTTACATAGCCGTGATTTTTTTAAAAAGATTTATTTATTTATTTATACAAGAACCGGGGTACAGACCAGATGTGCGGGAGGGTGAGAGAGAGCGGGGAACAGAACAGGCAGACTGACTGAAATCCACTGCTGAGGGGAGCAGCGGGCGAGACAGGAGAGGTCTGCTGCGCCAGGGAGTGGGTTGCTCCCTGGCCGGCCGGGGCTCGAACTTGTGCTGCAGAGGCTGCGGATTGCTTCATAGTGCAGTGCTTTAACTCCTTGCGCCACCAGGGAGGACCTTCAGTGCACTTTTCTATTTTTTTTTTTTTAACTTGGGTTACAGAGAATGACAAAGTTGAAAAGCGGCACAGGAGTCCCCAGGAAGGGCATTTCATGCCTCCTCTTGACCACATCTCCGCCCTTTCAGTGATTTGCCGCTTACATTAAGCAACTTCGTTAATGACTCTGTTGCTCTTAATTTTTTCCCTCTTTATTCTGGCGGAGGTTCCCAATTTTATTAACGCCACGCTACCACCCCAGGAGCGCATCACCGCGCAGGAAATCGACAGCTACTTCAGGCAGGAGCTCATCTACAAGCGCAACGAGCGGATGGGGAAGCGGGTGAAGGCGCTTCTGGAGGAGTTCCCTGACAAAGGCTTTTTCTTTGCCTTTGGAGCTGGTGAGCTTTGGGTTACCTGTCACTAGGCCCTGGGCTTAGACCCTAATCAGCTAAGGGCATGCTCAGGTGGGCCCCTGGGAGGAGATGCAATGAGTTCGACTTAATTCAGTTGCAAAGTGACTCCAGCTGGTGCCCAGTGTCCATCGTGGTTGAAACTGCTGGACAGGCTGGCGAGGGTGGCATCAGCACAGCTCTCTCTCCACCAGGGGCTCAGGATGGACTCCATGCTGGGAAGACATTTCTCTCTACTCTCAACACAGCCCTTCATCCTGACTTCTTTCTGGCAACTTTCAATTTATTTTATTTTATATATTTTTTACATCATTTTTCATTTTTGTACAATGTATACATTTTCATCTTGGTTATATTCCCCATACAATTCCCACCCCCCTTGTTTTGACCCTACTCCCTCCTCTCCCCCCTCCCCCAGTGTGTCTCTGGGTTATAGTTGCCTGTTGATTTTTGATTTTTACTTTATTATAATTAGTCTTTTTCCTGGTCCCTTATTAGGTTTTCTAAATTCCTGCTATGAGTGAGACCATCCGGTATTTTTCTTTTTCTTTCTGGCTTATTTCGCTGAGCATGATCCCTTCCAGCTCCATCCATGGTATTTACCCAAAGGACACAGAATCCTTAATTCAAAAGTGCATCTCATCCCTATGTTTATAGCAGCACTATTTACAATAGCTAAGCTATGAAAACAACTCAAATGCCCAAAAATAGATGACTGGATCAAGAAGATGTGGTACATATAAACAATGAAATAGTACTCAGCAATCAAAAAGATAAACTTTCAATTTTTCATTTCCACTAAAATTTGTCTGTCTGACTATGAGCCTCAGAGGTGTAAGTTCTGAAGCTGATACATCCAGCTATTGGTAGCTTTTAACAGTAAACACTGGGGAAATTATTTCCATGTGTAACTTTTTTTTTCTCTAAAGATTTATTTATTTATTTATACAAGCACTGGGTACAGTCAGAAGCCCAGGAGGGTGAGAGAATTCACCAGAGCCAGAGGGGAAGGCAGAGCAGGCAGACTGACGAAGTACACTGCTGAGGGGAGCAGCGGGTGGCAGGAGAGGTCTGCATGCCACGTGGGACCCTCGCCCCTCAGCTGGGGATTGAACTGGCACTGCAGAGGTTGCGGGCAGCTTCGCAGCCCAGCGCTCAACTGCTGCACCACCGGGGAGGCCCTCCATGTGTAACTTGTACACCAGTTTGCTGCCCTTCTGCACCGGGACTGAGCTGGCCCTCACAGAGTCCCTTTCAGCTGAGTTAGTTGCCCCTCAATAGTTTTGGGGTCACAAAACAATGGGACCCAAGAATATAGTAGAGTTTAGTATTGTTGTCTGCCACAAACACCACCTTTGTCTGCTCAGACGCCCAAAGCTGCTTCCCGCTGACCCCTTAAAGCTGAGGTGTCAGGGAAAGGAATGATCCTGATTGGGGGTCCACCTTGGCTGCAATTTGGATGACCCTCAGGTTGCTTCCCCACTCTCTGGCTGGTGAGTGTTCAGTTGTCAAAAGTGTGTAGACTCGAACCAGAGTGCCTTGGTTAAGATTCCGCTCTGCCGTTTCTTGGTGTTTGAGGTCCTGAATCTATTTTACTTCTATTTTAAAGCAGAGATGAGAAAGAAACCTCTAACATGCTGCTGCACCAGAGGCTGGAATTATTCCACTTGATCAGCCAGCTGGGGCATTAAAGTGGCATAAGCAGTCACAGAAAGGACATTGTGGCCCCAGAGACGCATGGGTGGGCTGTTGGGTGAAGCTGATAAACTAGAATGCCCAGGATATGGGGGTGGGAAAACTTTTATAAGTGAATTTTTTTGGTGACTCTTTTGCTTAATGCTTTTGTCTCAAATCTTAGCCTCATGCCTTGTTTGCTTCCTATTTTGCCAACTAAAGTGTCTGGGCACAATCCCTACTTCCTTCTTTAGAGATCTAGAGAACAGCTGTCAATTTTGAACATCAAAACCTGACATTGAGAGATGTAGTAGGGGCTGGACTGAATCCCAGGATCTGCCCTTGACCTTTAAAATATTTATTTTAAGATACCGGTGTAAGAGTATCTGGTTGATCCTTGCTGCTTTTCGTTAGAAAGAAAAAAAGTGAAAGAAGTTCAGATTGAGGTTTACTGCTAAATTGAGGTTTTTATTATGCATTTATAATTCCACGTAGGGTCTCAGAAGTGGTAGTTTATATAGATGAGAATTTCTAGGGGTGTTGGCTCTGTTTTCAGAGGCAAGAGGCTGGAGTTTGCTCTCCTCTTACCTGTGTGACTCCAGGGGGCTCCTGGGCTGTTCTGATCCTGCCTCCTTATCTCTGAAATGCTGGGTATCCTGCCCCACCCATCTGGCAGGGCTGCTGGGAGGCCTAACTGCTGACTCTGGCTGGACAAAGGGTTGGCGGAGTTATTTCCTTGTGCCATGTGTATTTGGGAATGTGGGGTCATGAGAATGGTCACATTTCTGGCCTTTTAAAACAAATGATTTTATTAAAGTAATATTGTTTTACACAGTGTGATTTAAAAAAAAAAATTGTTTGGGGGCATAGGCTCATTCACATCTCCTCAAATCTGATCCCTTTTGGTCCCACAGGTCATTTCATGGGCAACAATACGGTGCTTGATGTTTTACGGCGCGAAGGCTATGAGGTAGAACACGCCCCTGCTGGACGACCTATCAACAAGTAACCTTCCTGTGCTTCTATCCTGGTTGGGGAGCGGCCAGGGAAGCCAAAACCCTCCCGGGCTGCCTGAGATCCAGGGTGGGCTGTATCCTGAGAGGCTCCAGAGGACTTCACATGGCCATGCCCCCCGGGCTGGGAAACATGCCATTAATGGCTGCTTGGTCCCGGGCTCACAGACAACCGGCTGTGACTGAGCTGTGTCTGGCAGGCCTGGCTGGCTGGGCACTTTGGGCATAGAGGGCATTGTCCTCAGCAGTTGCTTGGGGCAGAAAAGAAGGTGAAGGGAACGCTGATCCATGGCCCTCGGGGCTCCAGGAGGAGTGTGTAGGCTTCATGTTTGGTACCTTTCGTCTCAGGCATTTTGGAAATTTTAGGGCGGCAGATGGTAGAATTGGGCACCACATAAGGTCAGAGAGGCTGGAGGTACAGGGACAGCCTGTTAGATCCATCTTGGATCTTGGGTCTCTGTTTCCTCTGTCTCTAGGTATGGTGTTTTGTTTTTTTTTTAATCCAAGGACATTAATAAGCATACAGGTTTCAGGTATATAAACGTCTATATAATATTTGTACATGCTGCATTATACTCATCACCAAAAGTCTAGCTTCCATCCTGCTTTGTGTTTTTATATGGGCCCCCTCTGGCCCTGTGGGCCATCTGTGAAGCAGGAGGCCGAGCCCCCTCTCCTCAGCTATGAACCTCACCCTGGCCTCCCTACTAGGTTTCCACCTGCTTCAGTCCTAGCGGGCACAAACTGTCCCTTGCTCCCCTCTGTACCAGTTTGCTCAGGCTGCCATAACAAAATACCCACTCACACAGCAGAAATGTGCAAATTTGCTCTCCCAGTGTAGTAAGTGAGTCCCTCCTGAGGCGTCTCCCTGGCTTGCTGCCTTTACTCCGTCCCCACGTGAGCTTTCCTTGTTGTGTGCAAATCCCTGGGCTGTTTCCAGCTTTACTCTCCTTCCAGGGACACCAGTCACATTGGATTTGGGCCCACGCTGACAGCCTTGCTTTAACTTAATCACTTCTTTAGATGCCTGTCTGCAAATACAGTCACATGGTGAGAAGCTGAGGGTTAGTGTTTCAGCATATGAATTTTGGGGGACACATTTTAGCCCATAATGCACCCTCCATTCTCCTCTTGCCCATTTCCTCCAGACTGTGGTCATCTGCGCCCCCTCCTGGCAGAGCTTAACTTGGTGAGAATATTCCAGGATGATGCTATCTCCCTGCTGTGTGGGGCTCCAACTGTCCTGTCTGCCTTTGCCCAGCTGCCATTTCTCCTCAAAAACCCATCTTCGCCTTATGTTGTCTCAAGCCAAGTCCTTTCCTGGTCCCCTTACTCCAGAAGTTCCTCCCTGGCAGTCCAGTTTCCATCCCAGACTCCCTCTCAGTGGCATATCTTGGAGAGTCCCTGGGCTTGTCCTTAACTCACCCCCACCCCTCTTCATACCCTACATTTCAGTGTATCATGATGTGTGTGAATTGACCACCTTCTGTGCGTTCAGCCTTCTGTGAAGCATGGTGCATGGGGTTCTAATTCTACAGCAACCACATGAGCTTGGCCAACTTTACAGAAGCAACAGAGGCTCAGAGGGGCTAATTATTCTATTCAAGCCTCGGAGCCTGGCCTCTTTCTGGGATATGACATGTCCTCTTGTGGGCGTATGCCCAGGAGTGAGGCCATGTCAACCAGGTGTTTCTTTCTTACACACTTCCATGGAGTAGACTGTGAAATGCAGGCAAGGGACAATCAGACTCTCAGTACAAAGAGAGAATCCTTTATTGTGGCCAAATGACCGTGAACTTAGCCTTTATGAATAACTAGAGGTTTAGCTAAAGGTTGGGAATTCTAGTGGAGCTAAATGTGGTAATGTGGACTCTGAATCGGAGAGGGGGTATGCACGGTGATGGGTGGCTAGTCCAGCAGCTGTGGGTGTGTTCAGCAGCTGGAATTCTCTGTTCCTGGCAGAGAAGCAGCCACTCCTGCCATGTTACAACCATTCAGCCTCTGTCTGATCTCATGTGGACAACTGCTCCTGAGAGCTCTCCCTGGAGTCGCTGTGGTGACTCTTATCTGTACACTCTATATTTTCTGTGGTGAGAATGGCTTAACTTTAAAACAGAAAAAAATATCAACAATAAATATTATTTAAAAATAGCATTGGGGCCTCCCTGGTGGTGCAAGTGTTAAGCACCACACTATGAAACAATCTGCAACCTTTGCAGCATGAGTTTGATCCCCTGCCAGGGAGCAACCACATGGTGCAGCAGACCTCTCCTGTCTTGCCCGCTGCTCCCCTCAGCAGTGTGTTTCAGTCAGTCTGCCTGTTCTGTTTCCCACTCTGTCTCTGGGGAATCCTCTCAACCCCCTGCATCTCTGGCCTGTACCCCAGCTCTTGTATGCATAAATAAATAAATATTTAAAAAAAAAAAGAAAATATCATTGAATCCTTGTTGGGAAATCAGATTGTTTTCTTGGTCTCAGTTACCTCAACTGTACAGTGGGTGTTTTGACTCCTCAGGGCATCTTTCTGCTGTGAAATAGGAGAAAGATTAAAACTAATTTTAAAACTAAGATTAAAGCTAATTTCTTTTGGATGATCCTCTTTTCTGCAAGGGCTATTAACTTGGTCCTCAAGCTCTGGCCTTGGATAACTGGAGTAAGTTGACTGAATTCTTCTTATGTCTTTGTTAGTCAAACAAAACCAAAGGTGTGATTTATCCTACTGGGAGGTTTTACTGCTTGAAGCTATATATAGTTCAGCCATACTGAGTTTGAGTTCATGTTCCTTGTTAAGTGAAAGCAATGGACTTTTTGATGTGCCTACTGAATGCCAGGGCCTACTTGGGTTATATGAAGGTCAGAGGTGACACAGATGTTCCTGCTGTTGCAGAGGGCCTGGGCAGGGGGCTGCCCCCTCTGGGGGGTCACAGACTCTTGGAGAACCTTAGGTGGTGTACTTTCCCTCTCTGGGAATGAGCTTCTTTGTGCATGGAATGAATGATGCCACACATGCCAGGAACTGTGCGGGGCGCTGGAGACAGTGATGAATCTGGCGGATCCTGTCCTTCAGAGGCCTTCTTACTATGTCTGCTTTAGGCGTTATCAGCCTCAGGTTCAGAGTAGAGGCTCTTTTTCTTTCTTTGTCATTTGACGTATTCCCTTCTTTTAGCTTTTTAAAACCCAACCTGGGTCTTTCCCTTTTTCATTTTCTCTTTCCCCTCCTCCCTTCTTCACACCGGGTCATAAATATGAACTGACCGCCTAGGTTCTGCCAGGTTGTGGGTCAGGCCTGAGGCCTGCCTCTGGCAGGTGGAAAATTCATCAAGGCTGAGTCAGAGCAGAGTTACTGAGATCTAAACATGCTGATCTGTTGCAGCCACATTGTTGGAGGAAGGAAGCCAGGCACGTGGCACATCCTCGGCTCCCCTTCCTTAGATAGATGGGAGCTCCAGGCCTCTCACTATGACAAAAGACAGTGGAACTGACCTCTACTGTCTGGAATTCTCTTCCTCTCTCCTACACCCTGCAGTTAAACCCTTAACAATAAGTCTTTTTGTAGGAGGAAATGTGGTTCTTCTAATGGTTTATTTCTTGTCTGAAAGAGACTTTTTTAAATTTTATTTTTTCAGGGGTGGAGGGGAACCTATAATTCTACTTATGGGAAAACTAGAAGGAAGTTTGAGCTTCAGTTTAAAAAAGAACATGTTTCCTTTTGGGAAAGATAGTTTATGGTCACACCTAGGGTCAGGTGGTTAGAAGTGGGCCCTGTGGCAGTGCTTACTGCAGCACTATTTACAATAGCCAGGATACTAGAGCAGCTTCAGTGTTCATCAATAAGTGACTGGCTCAACAAGATGTGGTGGTGTATGCACACAATGTAACACTGTTTATCCACAAGGGAAGGTGAAATGCAGCCAAGCAAAATGGAAGGAGTTCCAGGGGATTATGTGTCGTAAGGCAAGTCAGAATGACAACGACAAATACTGAATGCTTAGGCGGACACATAGTAAAATACTTAACAAAAACTAGCTGATATTAATAAACATACCAGGGCTCTGAATTCAAGAGGGAGGGGAAGGAGAAAGAAACAAGGGGATATGATGGTGGGGGTAAAAACCCAAAAACAACAAAAAGAGACAACCTTGTGAACACTGCTGTTTCTTCACTGGAGGATGAGGTGGCTTCCAACAGCCAAAAAGTCTAGGTTTGAGTAGAGCCCTTCTAAGGGTATATGAGGTATTAATAGGGTCCAGGACTACTCCACTTGTTCAAAGAAAATGGCACTTAAACATTTTTAACTCCCTTTCACATGCTGTAATTTTCGGTGACTTTCTAGACAGGGGTGACCTGCTGTTAGGGAGGGGTAATTAAATGCAGTTAAAAACAAACCTTGTATTTCCTCCCCAGAGTTAGGGGGTATGGACAATGTAGGTGAGGGTATATGAGTGATTCTTGAAATGGCTTTGTGACCCCTGCCCTCTCTAGCAAGCTTGAATTTTCACATTATCGGCTGTTGTGAGGTCCTGGACCTTAGGGTCAGGAAAGGTGCCATGTGACCCTTCTCCAAATACCTTCTTCCACCCCTCTGACAGAGAGAAGACTAAAACTCCGCCCTCTCAGCCCACTTCCTCCTCCGCCATCTTTGTCCCGGAAGTGGCCTCCCGGGTGGGGCTGGGACCTGAAGCTGAGTCTGCGGTGCTCTCACTATTGCCCCCACATGTGTCCCCTCTGGGAAGTGACGACCTGCCGGAGGCAGAACGAAAGTTCCGGAAGAAACGGAGGCGACCACACAGGAGGCAGCGGCTCAGGCAGTTCAGTGACCTGTGGGTCCGATTGGAGGAAAGGTCAGGAGGGCTGGGCCCCTCAGCTCCTACCGTCTTGACCAGGGTTGCCTGCATGGTGTTCACACCAGACCTGAGCCGGGATAGGGGAGAGATCAGAGGCTCAGGTAGTAATCTGCATGGTCAGCGAGGATGTACCTGGCATGATATTGCCCAGAGGCTAGTGGGCAAATTAACAAATCGGAGTTGGGCCTTCCCTCACCTAAAATTTGTAATCCCTGAACCAAGAACCAAACAGCCAGGGGAGGGAGAGTTGCCTAGTATTCTAACCTTAGTGCCTGTATCATTTGTTTTGTTTTTGTTTTTTTGGGATAGCAGGAGTAACGAGGGCTAGATACACAGGAAACATGTTAACACACTAAGGTTCGTGTCTGCCTATAAAGAAGGGAGATGAAAAGAAGTTGTGCAGGCATTGGGGTCCTTAGAGTATCCAGTGGCTCCTGCTGTGCCCTGAGCCTGTCTTTTCCTTTGCCTCCTAGTGCGGTGGTCCCTCAATTCCAGGTCCCCATTCTGGAGAGGCACATCCCCGCCGAGCTGCGGCTCCCTCGCCATGGCCATTCCCACCACAGCCAGATGGTGGCCAGCAGTGCCTGTTTGTCTCTCTGGACTCCTGTGTTCTGGGCTCTGGTGCTGGCTTTCCAGACAGAAACACCCCTGCTGTGACAACCAGAAGAGCCAGGCAAAGCCCCTGACCCCTTGGACGTGAAGGATGACCATCCTGAGCTCTCTTCTCTGGTCTGGGCTTGACAGAAGAGATTCAGGATAAAAGCCACTGTTTCTTCTCTTTCCAACGAGTGACTTTGGTTACGTAGCAATGCTTAGGGGAAGTGTACGGTTTTGTAATATAATGAGTCGCATGAAAATAAGTAATTGTAAATGAATTGTATGAAAATAATTAAATATCTCTTTTGGTGTACTTTTCCCTACAACTTGATGTTTAGGTCAAGTAAACAACTCCTTTGTTCACACCCTCTGCTCTCTACCATTGCTTCACTCCTGGCCCTTACCCCTAGGCCTTGCTGCCACTGTGAATCCGGACCCTTTCTCCTTCCTGCTGCCTTTCTCCCTGCTCGCTCTTGCTTCTGGATGCAGGGGAGTCACTAGGCCATGGGATGTTTTTTCTGTTCTTTGTTCCAGGTTTGGTGAGTAGTGTGCCCCCTGTGCCCTGAGAAGTGCTTTTATTATGTATAATATGCATCTCAGCAATGTGCTCAAGGCCAGGTGGATGGGTAGACTTTGTCAGAGGTGCTGTGCAAGAAAGTGGTTTTCAAATGCCTTCCCATTCCTATGTTATTTATTATTTATATGTGTTTTTCAAATAAAATCTTAATGTGGAATCTCTATACAGTGAGTAAGAGCTCAGCTGCCCCAGTTGAGTCTGAAATGGGAACTTCTAGCCCTGCCCAGCGGATCTCCACCTGCTACCCCCTCATCCTGCTCCCACCATCATTGCTGACCAGGACCTGCCACCTGTGGCAGGGTTTCCTTCTTGTGCTCTTGGGCCTTTGGGAAGCTTCCAAGCCAGGGTGCCTACCAGAATACTTGGAAGGGGCCCATAAAAGTAGATGTGTTTGTTCCTACTCTGGTTTAGGGTGAGCTTGACAGACGGGGCTTGCAGCTCTGTTCTCTCTTGTGGGTTCATTCTCAGTCATTGCCAGGGCCCAGAAGATCTTTGGGACCTCACTGAAAGTGGTGTGGTGGCACTCAGGATCTAGGAACCTTTGCTGTATTCTGCCTCCCCTGTGTTGCAAGGGTAGGAGGACTGAAACTTTCCCAGTGTGTTTTGCAATGCTTGAGATTCTCCTAACGAGATCTGCTTATGTGAGATCTGGAAGGTGGAAGGGTGCATTCATATTTTTTACTCATGTGAGGCAGGTCCTCGGTGGTGGCAGTTACGTGCAGGTTCTGGCAGACACAAGTTGCACAATGGCCAGGCTCTGCACCCAACTGCGAGTCATCTGCTTCATGAGGGTGTGTTAGTAGTGAGGTTGGCACAGTTTCTGGCAGCTTACAGCTGACCAACTGCTGTGGTCCCTAATGTCAACCCCCTCTGACTTCTGCAGCTGCAGCCACTCCCTTGGCTTAGCAAGCACCCATTCTTGTTTGAAAAACCCAGAGTTTCAAGAACTCTGACTAAGAAATGGTTTTCCCTATTTCTCTGCAACTTGAGTCTACTCTTAACTTTCATAGGTATGGAGGTGAAATGGGATGGTGGGATTACTGTGAATGAACCTGTTCTTCCAACTTTCTGAAAGGGAATGATGGTGTGATCTTTCCAGGGGCCCACAGCCTAGCTGGATTTCTTGGCTCATGTTCTGGCTGAGGAAGCAAACAGACTTTCCTTGGCAGAGCTGACACAAAATGGTTTGCCACAGTGGCCACTGCATCTCAGCACTGGCCCGATAGCCTCTGCTTTTGTGAGAGCACTTGGGAGGGATTTAACCTGTTTTCACACAGGTTCATCCTAAATTGAAAAGGAAAAATTTCCCTGCACTGGAGCAGAACCAGCCCACTCTGCGGTGAAAGCACAGGCTCTTTTAAGGATTGGAATAGGGGAAGTGGCACCGTGGGCCAAGATCTTATCCTGCTCTACCATTTGTTGAGGTCACTCTGTCAGCCGGCCAGCCTTGACCTCTGAGCCTTAACCTGGTCTTTTAAACGGAAGCACCTGAAGTGCTCTAGGCCTTTCATATTAGTTCGAAGAGGGAGGAAGTATGTGCGGGCAAGGAAGTGCTGGATTCTGCCTCCTGCAGGGAGCTGCCTGGCTGTGAAGTGGGGCGAAGGGATCAGGTTTCAGAGATGGGGCAGAACCCACTGCTTTCACATCAGAGCTTGAATTACCAATAGAAAGAAAAACATTTTTATTTTAGGTTATAAGAGAAATAAAAGCTAAACTTACTACTCTTAAGTCAGTGCAAAAGTAACATTGTTTTGCTCACATATAAGTTTTGCAGGTTTTCCTCATCAGGAAAACTGTCTGGTCTGCTGCTTTTTCATCATTGAGGTGGCACCTTTTCACTCATTCAGCTGGCAGAGCAAAGCTGATCCCTTGGAAATCCAGTAATCCTTGGAGTGTTTGGAGGGTAAGAGGATGGTCACCACAAAGTTGGTTGAGTGGCCTAGTTAAGTACATGGGGGAAAGAAAGGATACAGGTTACTTAAAGAAAAACCCCTTGATACAAAGAGCACTGTACTAGAAGTCAAGACACTTGGCTGTCAGACCTGACTCTACCCCTGAAAGTGAGGGACAAATAGTCTATGGAGTTTAGTTTTATCCCTCTAAAGATGTTAGAACAAATGGTCCTTTAGAATCTGTCCAACGTAGACTTTATACAACTATGACTATGTTTCAAGTTCTCTGCAGTCTGATTCTGGGTGTAGGATTAGGCATGAGCCTTAATTGGGACTCAGGGGCTGCACTTGGTATATTGAGCATCCATTCAGATCCATTCATCTGTCAGCTATTATTTCTGCAAATGTTATCACCCTTCCCTTCTCTCTATTTCCTCCTTCCAAATCATCTACTAGATACATGTTGGAAATTTTGGTGTTTTCCGCAATGTCACTTTAATTTTTAAAAATTGCACTGGGCAGGGTGTGAAAGTATACATCTGTAGAGGTTTGAACCGACAGCCCCAGAGCAGACACAAAGATGTAAACCTACTTTATCTCAATAAACATAATTTGGAAAAAAATTGCACTATGCTGTATTTTGAGAGATTTCCTCAGCTCACTTGATTTGCTTACTCTTTAGCTGTCTATGTTCAATACTTCAGCTTATCTGTTGCGATGGCTTTCTTTTTCTGGTTCTTTTTCTTTCAGGACTGTATCTCAGTTTCATAACTCAAATGTCCCTTTTTGCAGTATGAATTTCCATTTATTATGGAATATATTTTCTTTGAGTTTCAGTGTATTTGGTGAGAGGCAGAGATTTTAGTGTCTGCACAGCACATGGCTTTGAAATTAGAAGTCATTACTCACTAAACAATTTTCTAGACATTAGACTAGTAAAAGCAAGCATTCGTTTCATGACATTAATCCACACTCAGCTTTCAAGTATATAGAATTTCTAACATTTATAAATTTGACCTCATTTTAAGCCTAATTGGCCCAAGAGCTCCCTCTGCACATTCGAGCTTAGCATTTGCACTTTGATTGTATTTTGCATTTGGTCTTTATTGGTACCAATTTCAGAATCTCTTTACCTGTGGTTGACAGAGTGCCTGCCCTGGCGCCGGTTTTATAAAGTGGGGAGTGGTAAAGTGTTGGGTGTGGCTCATAGTTTTGTTGAGGTTCAAAATGCACCACAGGCAGCATTGGATTCATCTGTCCAGGCAGTGCATCTTTTATTACCATCTCCTTATCATCCCATCGAGAAGCATCCATGAATATCCCATGAACGAGAACACCATCCTCAGGAGAGGGCAACTGAAAGATATCCCGAGTGAAAAGGTCAGAAGAGGAAAAGAGGATCAAAAGTGGCAGGCTGTCTCCTATTTCCCATTACTTAATTTTCAGAAGCACTAGAGACTGGTGCTGTTACCTATATTTTAGGGTGAATACTGATGTTCTGAAAGGTAAGATAACTTGCTTTTTCTTTCATCTCTGACTTTTCAAACTCCACCAGGATGTCTAACAGGGAATACCTGTGTCCCTCCCCCCCATCACCCCCAGAAGCCTAGTTAGGGCCTTAAGACTCTCTGGTATCACGATATTATGTTTTTCCTCTTTTCATGAGAAGCAGATGGGATAAGAAGGCTGTGATCATCACCTATTTATTTTTAGTGAGGTCTTTCAAGGATTTGGGTGCCTTCCTAGAAGACAGATTATATATTTGCAATATTTGCAGAGTGCCTATGGAAAGTCCCACCCCCCCATTTTTTTTTTTTTTTAAAGAAATCATGCTTGATTTCTTAAATCCTTCTGAATTAGTGTGATTCCCTCAGTGTGATTGACTGTTGCCACTGGTAAACAATTTCTGCCAATTATGGACTTCTATGTCACCATTTCTCAAACATTAAGTGAATTTGGCCAGTTCTGGTGTCCTAGACCTTTGGGTAATTAGAACTTTAGACCTTCAGGCAGAGGATCAAACAGTGTGGGCACAAGTAGTGCGTTTTATAGTGACTAAGAGGATGGTAAGCTCTCTTTGGCTGGACTTTCCTTTCCAGTGTCCTGAGCTTTGTCTCTAGGGGATGGCAGGGTAGAGTGGGTTTTCCTGGCTTGGGGGATGCTATATGAACCTGTGCAGGTTTGCCTTGTAGAGGCTGGAAACCATCCTGCTCTCCACTTGCCAAGTCCTGTGTAGGTGCCACCTGGCATGTCCCAAAGGGGGTGCATTCCCCTAAATTGCACAAAGGTGGCACATGAGCTAACACAAAGGTTCTGCTTGTTTGTAACAGAACTAAAGCTCTTCTAAATACAGGATCTTGCAGATGTTTGCAGGAGAACCTGGAGATGGGCTAGCTACACAATTTGAGATGTTAGGGAAGTGGGGCAGGGCCTTATATCATCTGAAATATTGAATGACAGCAGGACAGAGCTTTGCCACCACAACAGCCACGGGGTCACTACCTCCATGTCCATGGGTAGTTCTTGTCCAAACTGTATTGTCTTGGCAGCTTCTGTGACTGCAGCTTGATCCCGGTAGGTAGCAATAATGTTGTACTTGAAACTCAGCTCATCAATAGGCAAATTGTATTTCCGAGCATGATTTTGAAGAGTTCCTGTAAACATGAAAACCAGAAAGACTAGTCTTCCAAGAACACCGCTACTGCCCAAATACGGTCCCAACTTGCCCCAACCAAGCTGCTCTAGCACTAGAGGGCTTCATCTCCTTTGAGAAGATCCAACCACCATCACTTTATTCTGAGTTAGGCCTAGAGAGAGGAAGTGTGTGGTGATGCTGGGAGAGTGGAGCCAAGGCTTGTACAAGTTTTGCTCATGGTTGGGAAGACAGAAGGGGAAAAGGCCACACCCGAAGTGTACTTTCCTGCCAGTGAAAGGGTTTCAGAGTTCTAAACCCCTAGCCCCACTTTAGCATCTTGCTCAGTGTGTCTTATATGGGCTGTTATTAGGGATTCAGAATGAGATAGAATAAGGGCTGGGCTAATGAGCATCTTGTAGCTCAGAAGCCCTGGCCCCTCTGGGAGAACATAGCCAGAATCTCCATGGGCTGCTAGAGGGACATGAGGAGGATTTTTAGAGGGAAATAAGCTGCTAGGAGTTGGGCTAGAGCAGGTGGGGAGCAGGGGACCTTGAGCCTGGGGTCACATGGGAAACTGGGGCACTTTCTGTGTTCACAGGGCCAGCACACTTGCACCTGTGTAACCTGAGAGGGGCAGGGATTAGTTGTTGGGCAATACCTGCTATTTCTGCTCTCCTTTCCCCTGGCAAGCGAGGAAGAGCAGACGGAGACTTGTTGGACAGCCCTATAATCACCAGCCACAGGCAGGCCATCCATAGCTATGACATTTCCCCAGTTCCTACAACCCAGTATGTAGCAAATTATGATATCTGTAGGGAAAGCAATCGTACCTGTTAGAAATCCTTGAGGAAAGAAGAAACCAGAGATCCAGAAGGACTTAGGCTGTCCTCTTTTGAGCCACAACTAAAGGAGAAATGCATACCATGTTGTAATTTTTTATCCCACCGAGATGAAGTTTAATATTTAAGTCAAAGTTATATTTTGGAGAACCTCTTAGAAGACAGAATCTAAATCAGTCCTAAGTGAGTCACCAGCCTCATTGTCATTGCCTGCCCTGTCCCAGCTCCTCACCCACCAGCCTGTCCCTAAACCCAGAACCTGGTTATAACAGGGACATTGAAGAGGGAGATGCTGGCTGGCAAGGGCACATTGGCAATTTGGACCCACGTCAGACTGGTTCTGTATCTCACAGTGGGGTCCCATGAACTAGACCTGAGACTCCAAGGATGGCCTGGAATTAAAATGGAATGTGGGTAGAGGAAGTTGGGGATAAGGGCCTGTGGTAAGCTACATTATAATCAGCATAAAACTTTCAAAGTGATGCTACGCTGGAAGCTTCTGATTTTTGGGCTCAGACAACCTCTCAACAGTTGTGAATTTTGCATCTAACTAGAGCTTCCTAAGGACCTTAGGATCAATCATGTTGCCAGATTCATCAAATCCCACATGAATGGCTTTTCTTACATCCACAAATGCAGTCCTCAGAATAAGGTCTTTGACCCATGATGCCAGTGGCTTCAGGGATGGATAGGCTGTGTTGGACCAGAGAGAGGGAACCTGGTTGTTTAGGAAACTGTTATACACCTTTTCCATTTCTTCAGACATCACTACAAGTCCAGCAATGGCTTTGTTGAGCATTTCTAGAGAAGTCTGAAAGAACAGATATCATTATCAGGTGGGAATGACATTCATGGCTGCTGCCAGGTACCTCCATTATTGGTGGATATTATTGTTTGACCAAAAGTGGCCATGGGGCAACTTGAGAGCTACATTTCTTCACTTACATGTTCAAATATTCAAGGAAGATTTAATATATGTGAGGCACACGGGAAACAAAGATGACTACCAGTCTGCTTTTCAGGAAGTTCACTGCTTATTGGGGAGCTATACTCATAGAGGGAAAATTATAGAACAAGATGGTGCACTGTACACAAAAGGACAGTGGCAGACACAGATGCTGAAAATGATGGAGCCCCGAGGAGGGGTTCCTAATCATCCAGTGGTGGAGGCAAGAGCTGGTGTTCCAGGAAGGCTTTATGCCGGAAGTGATATTGGACTTGTCTATCTTGAGGAGGTGAAACAGCATAATGTGAAGAGGGAGAAGAGGAGCAAAACTATTATTTTTGACTAATAGTATTAGCTGGGCCCAGAACAAACCACCTGGTCTATGTTTCCCAGTCACCCCTGCAGCTGAGGTTTGGCCCTGTGGGATACAAGATGAAATGATGTATGCAATTTCTAGAATACATTTTTATGAGGAAGCTGTTTGCCTTTAGCTTCTCCCCCGCTGCAACCCCCTCCCCACATCTAGCAAAAGGGGTCAGCTGCAGCAGCCACCTTAGACCAAGAGATGGTAGCTACCTGTTGAATTTGGAAGAGCAAATTCCTGAGCTGGAATCCTCTGATTAGCTCACAAAACAAGATTAACTTCCTGCCCTACCTCTGGGCTGTTAGTGAGAGAAAAGTGAATTTCTACTTTGTTTTAGACACAGTGTTTGGGCCTCTTTATCACAGTAGCTTAATCTGTACTCCGATTCATTCAGTATAAATGATGAGCCTTTACCTGGCTCCCTGGACTGCTGACATTGTATATACTGTGACTAGGTGCTGGAGTCCAGGGTGAAGGCTTGAAGTGTTCAGCTAACCTTCTTCCCCCTAACCCACAAGCCAATGCATTGCCAGCAATGCCAGTAACATTGGAGATTGCTTTTCTAGCATGGACAGATAGTCTTTGGCTTTAGAAGACTGATCCCAGATGTCCTCCCCCATCTTATTACTGAAACTTGACTCTGTGCAAAGTATTTAGTTCCCTGCTCGGCAGTAAAACTTTTCCTGTTAGTAGTGCACAATATTCTCTTTAATAGTTTTTGTGTTTCTCTTATCAAAGTTCTGCACAGAGAAATCAGGAAGACCTTTAGCCTTCATTATAAATTCAAGGGCATCTGAAGAGAAAGTACTCTTGAGCATAAGGCAA